CCACCAGTCTAGTTGTGGGCTGGCTCCAAAAGTGCTTCTCAAAGATGTTTCATTTTGCAATATAGAATCCAGCCAGGGACTCTGCAGATGCCCATGGTGCTGGGGAATTGAGAGGAGTGGTCAAACTTGCCTTTTGTAATGCAGGATTTGTATAGTACTGAAGGTAGTATTTCTGTCAAAACACTAAGAGATACCTGTTGCAGGTCAGCTTTCATCATTTCCTTTATGCATTTCCCCCTCTTCCTTTCATTTCCACTTCACCTGGATCCATCTAATCCTTGTCTATCCTCTGAATAAAGTACAGTAACCCCTCGCTTAATGTTGTAGTTATGTTCCTGAAAAATGCGACTTTTAAGCAAAATGATGTTAAACAAATCCATTTTCCCCATAAGAATTAATGTAAATGGGGGGGTGGGGGTTAGGTTCCAGGGAAAAATTTTTCACCAGACAAAAGACATATAATAATAATGACACACACACACACACACACACACACACACACACACACACACACACTCTAACTATACGTTTTAAACAATTTAATACTATACACAGCAATGATGATTGTGAAGCTTGGTTGAGGTGGTGAAGTCAGAGGGAGGGATATTTCCCAGGGAATGCCTTACTGCTAAATGATGATCTAGCACTCGGCTGAGGCCTCAAGGGTTAACACATTGTTGTTAAAGTAGCCTCAAACTCTACAAGGCAGCACAAATGGAGGGAGGGGAGACAGCATGGCAGACAAACAGACACACACCCCCTGTGTGTATGAGAGAGATGTGCATTGCCCCTTTAAGTACGCTGACCCCACTCTAAGTACATTGCCTTTTTAAGTAGATCAGCAAGTTGAAACAGCAGCTGCTACCAGCAAGCTCCCTCTGTCCTGAGCCCTGTTGTGTGTCCCCCTTGCTCTCTGGAGATGGGGTAAGCAGGGGGGCAGGAGTGGGGGGTTGGAGGGACACCCTGACATTAGCACTGCTCTTCACCCCACCTCTGCACAGCAAGCAGTAGGCTCCCAGGAGCAGCTCCAAGGCAGAGGGCAGGAGCAGCACATGGCAGTGGGGGAAGGGACAGCTGAACTGCTGGCAATTGACAGTCTGCTGGGTGGCTGCAGCACAGGGAACTTACGGGAGTGGGGAGTTGATAAGGGGGCTACCGGCCCACCCTGATTCCAAGCCCCCATCAGCTATCTGCAACAGGCTGCGCTTTCTGAAAGCAGTGGCCAAAGCTGCCAAACAACGTTATAAGGGAGCATTGCGCAACTTTAAACAAGCATGTTCCCTAATTGATCAGAAACGAAACAATGTTAACCGGGATGACTTTAAGTGAGGAGTTACTGTACTGTTTGTTAGACCCATACTAGCAGTACAGTGTATTTTGCTCATGAAAAATGTATTTTTCTTCTCTGGTGTGTTTTTCTTAACATACACAAATACCCCACTATGCATAGGAATTGAGTGAAGTGATTGGTATTAGCATAGAGCAGGCTAACCCTTTCTTTGAGTTTAGGAAATTCTCAGTTTGGCCTGGTCTACACTAACCCCCCCCCACTTCGGACTAAGGTACGCAAATTCAGCTACGTTAATAACGTAGCTGAATTCAAAGTACCTTAGTCCGAACTTACCGCGGTCCAGACGCGGCAGGAAGGCTCCCCCGTCGATGCGTACTCCGCTCGCCGAGCTGGAGTACCAGCGTCGACGGCGAGCACTTCCGGGATCGATTTATCGCATCTTAACCAGACGCGATAAATCGAACTCAGAACATCGATTGCTTACATCCGGGTCCGGATGTAAGTGTAGACGTACCCTTTGTGTGTTGTAGGGAGAAGACCCTGGCCTGTAACAAATAGGACACATCCCATAGTCCTGTATTAATATTGCCATGTTATAGTAAATGATTGATTAGTAAATTATTTATAGTAAGTATACAAGTAAGACTTAGATTTTTTTTTTAAATAACCTACCTAGTTATAATTAATAGCTATTGATAGTGATATAACACTCCCAAGATTATCACAGCTTTATGACAAGGAAGCATTCTAGCTAAGAATGGCTAAAGTATGACTAAGGGACATTTTCTTGTGTATATACACAGAAAATAGCTGTAAAATTAATATACTGGTGCAAAACAGTAATCCAGCAGAGCAGGATGAAAGATTCAGACATGGAACAAAAAAAGTTGGTAGAAAGAGTAGGATGCTATTGGTCTACCAAAGTGTTCAATTATGAAGACTAGGTAGATGAAGTCTGTGTAAAAGTTGTCAGTTGCTTTGGTAACTGAGTATTGGAGACCATATATCTCTGAAATTGCTCTCCCATCTGCTAACTATCATTTTTCATAGGAACGTCTTCAATAGAAAATCTACTTGAAAGTCAAATAAGAGAAGAATGAGCTTTCTTTAGTTACCTTTTCTTGCATACCACTGTTATCTAATCTAACTAGGTTCTATATGTCCACCTTCTCTGAACCCCTGATTAACCTTGTATGATAGCAGACTGAAAGCTTTATACAAAACCACATAGTGCAGGGGTTCTCGCAACAAAAAATTTGGTGGCTTCAGAGTGCAGCCACCAAGTTTTGTGGTGTCCGCTCTGACAATTTTTCCTAAAATACTTTAGGAAAAACAAATAAATATGTACATATACAGGTCCAAATCAGTGTAATTTATTTATGTAGGGTTTTTTGCCGACTCAGTAATCAAAATAACATACAGTTGTCTGCATTGTTTACTGGATCTAAACAGAATGGAAACACAGAGATGCAGTGCTTTGCATGTTCTTATCTGTTTTTTGCTTGCTTTTTTTTTTTTTTTTTTTTTTTTTTTTTTTTTTTTTTTTTTTTTTTTATTTTTTTTTTTTTTTTTTTTTTTTTTTTTTTTTTTTTTTTTTTTTTTTAGTGACTTGCTACCTAGTAAGTCTGTTTCTATTAAAGGTGATATTTTTATGTTAATATCACTTTTCATAACAGCAGTCTTGCTAGCTAGGAGGCAGTGAAAAGTGATACTAACAAACATGTGAAAAGTGATATTTGTAACAGACTTATTCAGCCCTGGTAAGCTGGAGGACAAATTAAGCCTTGGATTGGGAGGTGGGTAGGGAAGCGGAGTGGGCCAGGGGCAGCAGCAGGGGCCAGAGGCGATGGGGTGGTGACCCTAGACGGGGCCAGAGCCCGAAGCCCTGCAGCCATAGGATGGAGCCTGTTGCTGCGTGACCGGAGAACAGAGCCCACCACCCCACAGCTGAAGCCAGAAGCTTGAACCTCACCACTCCTGGGAAGGTGGGGAACTCTCACAGGCATTTGTGGCTCTGCTGCTTCCCCCCTGCACCCCTCAATCACTGCCCAGGAGGCTGTGGCCACAAGAAAAGCCCCTGGTGGCCGCATTTGAGAAACACTGAATCATAGTGTATGCTTATAGTTGTCAAAACAGCATTTTCAGGTATCTGTGTGTGATAGACTATACATAGTAATTACCTTACATGGCCCCTGTTATATGGCCACTGTCTCCACCACCTATTCTGTGTCTTTTCCCTATTATTTGAATTCACTTCCTATTTTATTGTACTTGAATCACAAGTTGTATTCACTGAGCACTGCCAAGTCAGAGTAGATGCAAAGTTTTTAAAATTTGTGTTTGGTTATGCCTTCTTTTAAAAAAACAAACAAACAAACAAAAACAAAAAAAGGGGGGGGCTTTGAAGAAATTTTTAGTTGGATGATCTGATTTTTAAATTTAGTTGATTATGGTTTCTCTACACGTGTTTAAAAACGTTTTTGTGATTTACTATGATCATTTAATAAGCAATATCTCCCATTAACACCTTATTTTCCTCTCTAGTGTTGTGAATTATTTGCAGCTGTATTTTGGGGATTATGGTTTCTAATCAACAAAAACAGAGCAAGTATGTTTATATTCTACAAGGCAGTAATACTGTATTTGCTGTTGCCATATTTGGTGATTTTAAAAAATAGCCATATCCCTGTCTATAGTATAGGCTCCACTATATGGCTACTGTTGTTTTCTCAGCATAGGGAAAGCATTGTGACCTAAAGAGAGCTTTTGAGGATGAAGGGAGTTGAGGATTAAATATATAGAATGTAGCATTGTCACAGTTATCCAGTTTTTCTATCAGAGCACCACTGTGGATGTTGGTCACCACTGAATCGGTTTAATTTTAAATGGTAACAGTCATGTGCAGGTTTTCAGAACTGAAAAGGAGGTGAAGGATGCCCCTATATTTGATTGTGCCACATTAATTTAGAAATGTTATGCTTCTAGGGAGATGATGTGGTTACCCTTGGTAAAATCAACATGGGCTTTGTAGGAAAATGCTCATTTAATAAGTAAAAAAACTGTATGTATGTATGTATGTATGTATGTATGTATGTAATGTTTATGCTGCTGAGTTTGAGAAGTCATTTTGGGACTGAAGCCAATTTTCATTCCTTTTTGCTAATGCAAAATGGCCAATAGCCCTGACCCAAATTAAGAATACTAGAGGCGAAGTTGAGGTGCCGTTGAAATATCTGGAAGTTACTCTGAGAATAAATATGAATTCCTGGATGATGTTAGTAGTCATGTTTTAAGAAAATTTTTCATTTGTAGTTATTTAGCTGTGTTTTATCCTTAATGTGGACAGCAACAAGTTTCAAATACACTTTTTCCTAACATCCTTAGTAAATAGTTTATTTTCCAATGCAAGTTTCTTGGGTGAAGGCTAGCTTGAAAAATGCTACACAGATAAACTCTGGGTCCAGACTTTTGTTTTAGTTTATACTGCTGGATCTAATGCCCTTACAACTCAGGCATTGAGGCATGACTTATTACAAAAAATACAGCAGCACAGTTTGTTCTGTTTCATTTGCCTGGTATGCTTGGTGTTCAGGGATTAAGGGAGGAGAAAGGACCAACTATCCAGAATGCTTTGTTAAGAGGAGGGAGTAAATTTGATTGTCGTCAGCACTGGATTTCCATATGAGTGCTTAAAAGCCTGTAGCTTGTGAAGATGATTGCTCTAAAAATAGCTTTAGAGAGAGTTTGCAGTCAGGTCCAGTTTCAGGTTCTAGCTGAGTTAGCTTTATTAAACTTTCTTTTTTTAACCACTGTTGCAAGACTAGATTGAGGGTAACTCGTTCCTTGTTCCACTTGGATGTTGATTTTGGACTCCAATATACTTATTTTATCCATGGATAAGGGACACTAATGCCATGGCTGAAGATTCAGGTATAATTCTAACCTTTGGCAGAAACTAACCAAAAAAATGCATGATTGTGATTTGACTGTGTCTGTTTTTTGTGCTCAACAGAATAACCAGCTTATTGTAGTATGTGGGTGCTTTGGATTCAGTTTACTATTTTGCTCTGCATCACAAACTGTTTTATTTTTGCTATTTAAATGAATTCTGAAGTAGAGCTCTTTTTTCCTAGGTTTTATGGCAGATGGTCAGTCATACTCAACATAGTTTTTTAGCATAATATTCCTATTGAAATGGGAGGAATATTTTTTACATGTGAAGGTTTCACTTGAACATGCTGTTGGTTTGTTTGTTTACTTTATTTATTTATTTAAGGTAGAGCAAATTTCCGAACATATTAAGAACCATAGGTAAATGAACAAATTTGTTCCCATATAACCTCTTTATTCATAGAAACCAGTCATAACCAGTAGGTTAACATTTGTTATTGAAGAGAGTATTATGCAGTTTAAGACACTTATGGTATCTGTATAAAGACATATGGCAGGGTAAGCAAAGGCTTACCAGATATGGAAACTGACCTACTTTCTGCATAGCTGATATGTGCAGAGAAAGGACTTCAAAGTTGAATTAACTCCCTGGAATGAGTTCAAATCTAGAGTTAGTATTCCTTAATGGTTAACTAGCTTTTAGCTCTGACTCTGTATATGTATGTTTGCCTCTGCAAATGATGAATGAATCTTATGATGACAAATTTAACATTTGCTTTTAAAAAAAATTGTTGCAAGTTAGAGCAGATCTGTTTTGTTGGAGTTCTGTATAGCAAAATTGTTCAAAGCACTTAGAGGTTGGGAGTCAAAGCTTGCAAATGGAAGCTACACTTGTAACGGATGATGTTTGTTGTAGGATCCGATTCTGCGAGACTTGGATAAAACTGTTTTTTAGAAGTGGAAGTGTGCAGCAGTAATATTAGGTTACTTATTTAATTAAAAAAAACTATTATTTAGATGTCCTGTCTTGTTGTCTATGGTACACAGTCCTTTTTCCAGAGACACATAGTGGTAAAGAAAGTGCCACGAGAGAAAAGGGTATAGAAAAATGGAAGTGTAAAATAGAATCCTGCTATATTTGCTTATGCAAATACAAATAGTTTTCTTTAATGATACAATATACGATCTTTGTCACAGACTTCTTTTAAAACACCCATTTAATATAAACTGTTCTTATGAAACATAATTGTGATTATGTACTTGTAAGAGTTGCATGTGTGGTGGCTTAACTTATATAATGGCATATTTATCTATGCTCTCTGTAAACATTCAGTAACTTCTTAGCCAGGGATTTTTTTTTAATTCCTCATTTTTTTTCTGTGATTTGTAATATTTGCTGAATATATTACAACACATTGTTTATCTTTGCCTGCAACCTTCCCTGGTGAATTTAACCAGTAATCACTAGTGTATTGAACTATACTCACATGTCCAAGCATGAGGTTAAACCGTCCTAATCTTTTTCTAAAGATTATTGGAAACACCATACTAGGGGAATGTTATGGTTAGAATGTCAAAGAAACAGAATTCTGTACTTCTTTTTTGTTCTTATAATCTGTGCTTCTAGGACCAATATTAAATAGAATTTTTTCCCCACTATAAATATTGCATCAGTAACAACTGAGCTAAGGCAGCTGTTTTTGTGACTGTCTTTACTCTGCATATGATGCAATGAATATGGTGAAAGATTAGCTTAGTATGTCTGTGATCCTGACAACAAGGAGGGACTGGAAGCCCTTCTGCGCTGACTTCCCCTGTCCCTCTCTCATGTAAGTCAGCTAAAGAGGCCACCACTGTCCCTACTTCCTCTACCCTTATCTAGGGCTACTACCTTTTAGTGTGCTGCTTTTTTTTTTTTTAAACTTGTGATCATTTAGGTCTAGTTTTGCCTAATTAATCCTACTAGAGATGGCAAACAAATATTTGATTAGACTTAATATGATAATACTGATATTAAACACAAATCTAAATCACAGTACATTAATGATGCTTAAATATTCTTTGTATTTGAAAAACATATAACATCTTTTTAATTAGGTAAAGATTTGGCCTAAACTATTTGGGTTAACTCCATTGTCTGGCAACCTCTGAAAAGTTGAGCCATTACAATAACTTAGCAGCTGTATTGTTTGATTATAATACCCTTTTGTAAAGTTTTTACTTTTCCCTGGTGGGTTTGAAGTGCATGCACGTTACACATCTAAATAATCACTAGTTCCTTTTCCTTCTCATTAATTGTATTGGCCGACTCCCTTCACCTGTGAGAAAATCCAGGAAAAAACTTGATTATTCTGTTCATTTTATTTACGTTTATAACGTGGTGTGTGTTCTTTTAAAAAATGTGGCTAATGTTTTTTGGTATTTTTACTTTTATTTTTAAAATAATTCATGAGCTTTCTTATTTTTAGCTGGATTTTTTTCATTGTAACTTTAAATGTAAATTTAATGTCTCCAAGAAACATCTTGAAGGTTTAAGATATTCTCCTAATACATCAAGAGCATTGATGAATTCTGTGCTTTCAGGACCATAGTTCAGATGAATGAGAGCTGTTAATGGATGTTGCTTCAAATAAAGACTCAACTATTAGTTAATAAAGTTAACCAGTTAAACCATTAAAATTAGATCGTTTAACCAGTTAGCCGTTAACCAAGGTCCCTCCAGCCGGCCTGGCGCAGCGGGGATCGGGGGTCCCTCCGGCCGACCTGGTGCAGTGGACGCAGAGGTTAACGGTTAAGGTCAGTTAATGGTAAGCTATTGCTTACCTGTTAACCGTTTAACCTTTTACAAGTCTACCTTCAGATAATCATTTTTCTGGAGTTGTTTTGAGAAGTCTGCTAGCTGTGCTTTCTCTTCCACAGAAAAATTGAACTTTGGTTAGTCAGTATTGGAGTTCCTCCTCAGTACTTTATCCAGGTTGATTCCCCGCCCCCCCGAATGCTTGACTTTTTTAACCATTTTCAGTAGAAATTGAGTCCTTGAACGGGATGATCTGTGCTTCAGGGAATGTAGATTGATTCAAAGTAGGATCTTGGGTTGCTGAGTGGCACTTTTTATGAAGCCTTCCAAAAGGGTTTAAGTCTGTGTGTTAAGGCATATTCAATTTTAGGAGGTTCTAGCTTCCTTCATGGAAGTGGCCTACTCCTTCCATTAATTTATGCCTAAATTATTTCTGCTTAGCATGTTAGCTGAAATACTGTCTTCAGTTTGTTTTCAGGGAACAGTTCCCAAAGATTTGTGCTCTGGATACATTAAGGTCTGTAATTACTCTTTAAACACTATGGGCTGTATTAACCAAGTCTTAACTCAGCAATGCAAGGAGTAGGTTGTTCTCCTGCTTAGATTATGACTGTCTGCAAGATTAAGACTGGAGAGCAGGGACTACCTGTCTGATTCTTCTGTGAGAAGTGGGTGGGGAGTAGGAATAGCACTGGGTCTGCCATCGCTTGCCAGCAAGAATTGTTGGCTAGGTACACAGCAGGGAGTAAACTGCTGTATGAAAATGTTTGAAGTAAACTTTTCGCTAGAGCAAGGGGGAAGCAGGGGAGAAATGTTGATGCTGAGAGTCACATTTCTTTCTCTGCCCTTAATAGAGGGAAGCTCGTACCAGATTGTAATTTTACAGTTTAGCCCTTTGAGTACATAATACACTAACTCTGTTTTTAACATGAAGGCTTTAGAAACTTTTGGCAAATGGATAAAATCCATCATTTGCCTCATCCTTTTTGAGTAGTAGAGAAGGGAACAACAAGGTGTCTGAGTTCCAGATCAAAACCTGTAATGTGTTCTAGCATTTGAGCTCTGTCTACATACATGACAATGGTGTGGTTTTTTTAAAATGAGTTACCTCAGTCAATTTATCTTAACTAGATTGAAAATCCCCTTTAAACCAGTGTAGATCTGATTTAACACCTCTTAGATCCTTTGATCTGGTCATATTGTCACTTTGGTGGGAGCCTAGGAAACAATACAACCAATTTAAACCATCTAAAAGGAGTTAAACTGTGTATATACTGGCATTAAGGAGGTGGATGTTCAATCACATTAGCTTCACTCATTTAAAAAACACACTTTTTGCCTGCGTATGCAAACCCTGGAAGTCTATTACAATTACTACTACTAATAAAGGAGATAATAGTAGTGAAAGTAACTTAAACCTGATCGAAAACTTACACTGGTCTAAAACTTATGTCAAACTATCTGTCACTTGGGGTTAAGCCCTGGTACTGAGCCCAGAAAACTGCTAGGTCAACAGATGAATTTTTCCATCAACCTAGCTACTGCCTTTCCAGGGGGTGGATTTACTACAGTGATTGGGAAAAACCCTTTCTGTTGCTGTAGCAAATGTCTACGCTGTAATGCTATAGTGGTATAGCTGCAGTTGTGCCACTGTAGTGCTTGTAGTGTAAACAGCCTTACAAAGGTTATTGAGCACTTCGTACTACTGTACGAAGCACAATTTGTAAAAACGTGCATACTTTTATAATAAAATATTATGCCTTCTAATAGTAATCCAGTTTCCATGTTTACACATCTTACTTTAACAGAGACAAAGCATGGAGGAAACAAGAATGGGAAGAAAGAAGGCCTCTCTGGAAGCTCCTTTTTCACCTGGTTTATGGTAATAGCACTGCTGGGAGTTTGGACATCAGTAGCAGTTGTTTGGTTTGAACTTGTAGATTATGAAGAAGTTCTAGGTAAGAACTTTCATGTCTTAATATGTATAATTTAGTATGTCAGAAAATGTGCTACGTGTATCTTCATTCATTGAATAGAAGCATTTTCCGATTTTCAGGAAGAAAGACTGAAGATTTAATCTTGCCTTCAGATAGATGGGAGCACATCACCAATTTGTAAATTAACTACTGTACATATATTTTCAAATGTATTATTTTTACAAGATAAATGTCAGTGGACTCCAGGTATGATAGGATGCATACTGTGCTTTGTGTATCATGTTTAAAATTCATAGTTCCAATAGTGTTTAAAAAAAAAAAAAAAAAAAGAACTTCATATTTGTTAGGCGCTAAGAAATCTGTCCAGGGTTCACCTGACATTACACATGCAGATGCTTTGTTAGTTTGTCCTTGATCTTTGATGCAGGTGAATCTAGGAGAATATTATACTTGAACTGTAAGGTTCAAGCATCTGATTTAAAACCTGATCAGGGTCTGATGATGCAAATAATGGTTTTTGTATTTTTACCATGCATGCAGCCAAAGCAAAGGACTTCCGTTATAACTTGTCAGAGGTACTTCAAGGTAGGCTATTGGGAAACAAACTTCCTTCACTCTCCCTGGGATTAAAATCTTATGCTAATCATATTCTGCTTTACTCTTTTTATTTTAATTTTTAAAAAATTGTTTCTTTCCTTCAGTCATAATTCAAATGAAAGACTCCGGCATTCTATTATTTCTGACTTTTCTTCCTATTCTTGGAGAAAATGCAATTCTTCTTTACTAGCTGAATGTTACAGAATTTCTAACTATGTACTTTAACCTGAAAATCAACAGCAATAATTTAGATTTCATTGTTGCAACAGAGTAGTGGTGGCTTACTTTGTCTACTCTGGACCTGTTCCTGGAATTCAGCTTCCACCAAACTGTCTTATTTTCTAAACTATATTTTAGTTTATTAAAATATTTTCTGTAGGATTATTTTTTGTGGAGAACAGGAAAATAGTGGTTACATTTTGTTTTTGTTTTTTGTTTTTTGTAGAAATTTTGCCACGGTTTTAGTGGTTGGTGACAGTTCTTTCCTAAAGGAAACAAGCAATGGCATGCTCACGATAAACTGATAAGCTGTGATAACCGCTAAATTTTACAACTCCTCCCCATGATCTTACAGCATTGTGAGTCAGGCTTGAGTTTTGCCATGATATTGAGATTATCAAAAACTAATTAAGTATTAAATGACCTACTAATTCCTTTGTTGATCCCAGGAAACATCTACTTTTAGATGACATAGTTTTAGGTAATACTTTATTTTCTAAAAGAGACTACGATCCCCTGAGTGTTAGCTCTATGGCTGCTAGAGCTACTGTGGCTGAAATAAAAGAAAAGCAAGACCTCTAATGTTTTGATGATGTATTAAAAATCCTTACTAGATTTTACTGATTAAGTCAGCTACCATTTATGACATGTTGCTTTTGCTTAGCCATGTATACCAGGGCTCATGACTGGTGGTGATGATATGCCCTGGATGATGATTAGTTTCTTAGCTATAGTAAACATATGTAGCCATCGGTGAAATGTCTGTGAATTCTTTTACACTTTTTGTGGGATATGGGCTGCTTCTGATCCATTAACCCAATAGTGAAACCAGTCTACCATAATTTTAACTGTCGGATAACTTTTTTATATATGGGAAATGTCTAGAATAGCAGTCAGTATGAAGAAAGAAAAAAGAAATAGTGATTATATGATTGCATAAATTTGGTTGATTACACCCTTTCAGATTGCTCGTTTTTACACGGCTAGCTTTGAATTCAATACATTCAGATAAAGTGCACAATTTCTAATTGAATTATATACTTGCTATTGTGAGTGACAGACTAAAGAAATTATGCATTGAAATAGATATCGACCAGTAAGAATCATATTTGGAGAATGTGTTGTACTCAGTATGGTTTTGCTGTTTTACGCATGACCTAAAATTGAGTTAAGCAGAGAGAGGCTAAATTGTTAATGTTAATAATAATAATAATAATGTATTAAAATATAAAAATATATACAACCAACTGTATATAATGAACACATGTTGAACATTTTACTTTGGAAGCATTTTACTCAAGTCCTTCATCCTTATCCCTTCTTTTTTGCATTTTAGGCAAGCTTGGGCTATATGATGCTGATGGAGATGGAGATTTTGATGTGGAAGATGCCAAAGTTTTGCTAGGCAAGTACACACACAACTTTTTGGATTACAATCTGAAAGCTATGTTACATAGACTTCAATATTTCATATGGCTTGATTTGTCTTAGTTTATGATATTAAGTGATTAAATCGGGAAATAGAGAAATACCTTAAGAATATAATTCTTTGCATGAAAATTGTAGCAACTCTTTTTCCTCCTAGTACCTTTACAAAATAGGTAGAATTATTTAGTACCTCACATTGCTTGACTTTAAGATCCTCAGGCCTCAAAGTATTCCCTTATCACTATACCAAGATTTTTTTTAATTGATTATTTTATGTAAGATGGACCAGTACTTCAAATGCTCACAGTATTACAGCATTGTTCAAACAAACATATATGTCAGATCTATTGTAAATCAGGTTGTAGCAGAAATAACTAAATATTATATAAATGCTTTCAATACATTAAAAGTCTGAGCATTTTGCATTTATTTTCTGTTATCAGAGGGGTCATGAAAGCTCCAAAGATCACTGTTTGCTTCCTTTGCCCTTCAAAGGTCTTGCATAACACTGATTATCCCTTTGACATAGAAAAAGCCTAGTCTAGGCTTCCTCTGGAGCACACCAACATTAGTCCATTTGTGCCTAGAGAATATCTTTTCTTGTACTCACCTGGAATTTTAGGGGAGATATTTCTAAAAGATAAACTTCAGATGATACTCATGTCAATGCACTACAGCAGATTCATTAAGACCTCTGGACCACCATGTCTCAAACTTGGATCAAGACTTGCACAGTTATTTCATATTTAGCTGAAAATAAGTTCCATGTTGGGTTTTGACTTTAGTTTTTTTTTCTTTTGTTCAAATTAACTCATTCAGAATTCTGGGGACATATATAAATGTTACCAATAAAAACAATACATATACTGTTTGGACCAGGGGTCGGCAATGTTTGGCACGCGGCTCGCCAGGGTAAGCACCCTGGCGGGCCGGGCCAGTTTTATCTACCTGCTGACGCGGCAGGTTCGGCCGATCACGGCCCCCACTGGCCGCGGTTCGCTGTCCCGGGCCAATGGGGGCGGCAAGAAGTGGCGCGGGCGAGTGATGTGCTGGCCGCGGCTTCCCGCCGCCCCCATTGGCCCGGGATGGCGAACCGCGGCCAGTGGGGGCCGCGATTGGCCGAACCTGCCGCGTCAGCAGGTAAATAAAGCTGGCCCGGCCCTCCAGGGTGCTTACCCTGGCGAGCCGCGTGCCAAACGTTGCCGACCCCTGGTTTGGACTGATGTCCAAACTAAATCTTTCTGAATCTCTCCCACAATTCCCTTCCACTCTATTATAACAACATTGATAGTTAGTCTTTTTAAAAAAAAAAAAAAAAGTAAATAGGGATCCTGAATAGAGGGGAAATAAGGAGCAATATATTGATATCAAAACTCACCTCACTGTTGAAACTAAAGAGAAAATAATTTGTGTTTTTGTTGATTAGAAAACTTTGAAAAATTTGTTACTCAGTGTACAAAGCTGGTGAAATACTTTGTCATCAAATGGAATTAGAAAGAGTAACTGTTTACCTTCACTGTTTGCATCTTGATGGTGCATCATTGCAAAATATTACATAAGAACAGCCATACTGGATCAGCTCAAAGGTCCATCTAGCTCAGTATACTGTCTTGCGACAATGGCTAATGCAACGTGCTTCAGAGGGAATGAACAGAATAGGCAATCATCAAGTGATCCATCCCATGTTGCCCGTTCCCAGCTTCTGGCAAACAGAGGCTACGGACACCATCCCTACCCACCCTGGCTAATAGCCATTGATGGACCTATCCTCCATGAATTTGTCTAATTCTTTTTTGAACACAGTTATAGTCTTGGTTTTCACAACATCCTCTGACAAAGAATTCCACAGGTTGACTGTGTTGTGTGAAGAAATACTTCCTTTGGTTTGTTTTTAAACCTGCTGCCTATTAATTTCATTTGGTGACCCCTACTTCTTGTGTTATGTGTTGATGCCACACTTCAGTGCAAACTTCCAGTATAGAATCAGGACGTTATGCATGCTCTCTGAATGGCCATTTAGTGCTACCCTCCCCGATTTTTGTCTGAAGAGATAAGCAAGAATCTTTGTTCTTCAGTCCATTTGTTTAGTTCTTCTGTGTAGGGAGAAAACTCCTGAGATCAGAGCTACATTCAGTCTACTGAAGATCAGGTAGAGCAAGAAGAATTCTAATCAAACCTATGACTATGGGTGCTCTCTGTGTCTGTAGAGTTACAGATTGGGAGCTGTCACTGAACATTACACATGCTTGTATTTTATCTTGTTTTCTGTCAACTTTTGATAAACTCTAACAGATTTTTTTTCCTGTAATCATTCTGCAAATCTGAATTTTCTCATGGTGTATATAAATAGTACAGTACACTGACTATTGCTTTTCATGCCAGTCTCATTCTGGCTGCAGAGCTGGAAGCAAGATACATGTGTTGCTCTTCGATACATCTCCACTTTTACAGAACTTGATATGATTGGGGATTCTGCCAGTTATGTGACACTGTTTCTATAATAAACTCACCTTCCCATGTGCATAAAACATAAATACAGTCTCCTTTAAATATGTTATAAAAGGTCACAGATTAGTTACTTCCCCCCCCCCTCTAAATACCAGTTTTGAAATATAATTTTATGGTTACATCAATATGTTCTGGAGGATGGGGAAAAATAATTTGGTGGTTTTAAGAAGTTCTGTTGCAGATTAATGCACAAACTTTAGGAATTAAAAAGTAAAACTTGTCAAATGATGAGTCCATAGTATGATTTAATTGCAGTTCACGTTTTAGGAAGGAAATAGATAGTAGCCAAGGGGCTCGGTTCTGTTTATTATCTATTTATACAAGGTTACTGGCTGTATAGTACCATATATATTCATCGTGCTCTAAAGACCAGTAAAAGACATGACCCTGCCCTGAGAAACGTGCCGTCTAAAATTAAATCTGTGAAGCTAATGAAGAAACACGTATATTAATAAGGCTACTTCATCTGCTTGTGTGTAACTATCCAAGTACTTGCCTGTTGTGACTATTTTACTATGTATCTTGTGTGACTTTGATTAGAATTTTTTTTTCTTTTTGTCAAAGGATATGTTTTGTGGTGCATATATCTGTGGGGAGTACAATATTAAGAGATGGTTTCTGTGCTAATTTAATACAGTATTAATAATGAGAAGATCTTTACTGCATAATATTTAATGCTAATAAACAATTTTTTTCCTGCTCTTTAACTGGCCTTTAAAGCAGGAGAGAAACCACTGATCTTTAAAATCCCAGACATCAACTTCCAATAATACTGTAGCTGCTAGCAGGAGGTTTAAAATTTTGTTTTAGTTAACAACTTAATTATAAATGCAATTTACGTTTCCTAAATAGTGAAAAGTGTTTCTCATCAATGTGCTTTCAAGAGGAACAAAAGGAGTGTAGGTTTTTATTGCAGGGGTGTGATAAGTAGTTGATTTAATATACCGTGTGCTACAATATTTATGTACACTGGAACATGAGGAGATTGCAGTATCAACCTTAAATTTATTTTGTATTGATTTTGGACCCTATTGCTCTTCCTGTTGAAGTTATTGACTTCAGTGGGAGCAAGGTTGGGTGTTTGGGTAGTACCCTTCATACATTTGAAGCAGTAGTGTGTGGGTGGGCAGAGAACTTTTATCTTTCTGCCCAAACAAAACAGTTATTTGGGTTTTTAAGTTCAGTCCCTGAACTGTATATACTTCTCTGATGCCATCAGTTGTAGGCCCTTATTTTCAGGCTGAATTGATTTAAGTTTTGGGGGAATCTTTGGAAGATGCATAAAAAGACATATTGGGGATGGCCTACAACTACTGCATGAAGCATTGGAGTTGCACTGGTGTAAATGAGGGCAGAATTTTGGTCCAACTTTAAGCAGATATAAGGTTCCTGCATTATTTTGGCTGCAGTAAATAAATATGTGGCTAATTTAAATCTATATTGGATTTCTCCATATGTGTTATAATTTTGTTTTTAAAAATTAGTGCAAAGCATCATGTTTTAAGTTGCCAAACCATGCAGTAAACAAAGTAATCAAGAATAGATATTAGCTTTTTTAATCCTGCTGTTCCTTCTTTGCTGTGTTACGCACCCTTTTAAAAATCTATTCCCTTTTTTGGTCTAAGACAGACACTTTAGGATTTCTCTAGGATGATTTTCATATAGGCAATGTATATTAGCTTGGGTTTTGGATTTTTTTTAAAGACTAAAAAAAGTCCTTTTGGCAGTCTTTTTCAAGTTCACCACTAATTGCCTGTTAATTGGCTGGTTATCTGTTGTTGGTATATGTTCCTATATTGTTGGAACATATTGATTGCTGGCTACTTTCTAGTAGTACAGAGCCAGAGCAGTGGTTTCTATATACAAAAAATGTAAAATCATTGTTTGTATTATCGCTCCCAGAGACCCCACTTAGATCAAGCTCCTATTGTGCATGGTACTGTGCAAACATAGTAAGTCTTCACCTCAAAAGAGTTTACAGTCTGTACACTTGTAATTTTGATTTTTTAGTAGCTCTCCACGGCTCTGCCAGCCCCAGCTCATGCTGTTTTTGTTTTAAAATGAATAAATATACTTTTTTGACATAATTCAGCCTGCGGATCAGATCATGTCTTATGTTGTATCCTCAGCATGCCAGCAGGGGGAATTGTCAAGCAAGTACAAAAAAAAATTACACTATGGTGCTATAGAAAACTGAGGTAGAAAAGATAGAAAACAAGAACAAGCAAAACTCTTGATACCCACCTCTCTATATAAGCTGGAATGGGCAGAATAACTCCAACAGCACTTGATCAGGCCAGTGGATATTGACTACGAGCAAATTTTACCCTTTACTTGTGACAAACTTTTGTTTAAAATACACAGTTGTTAAACCAAACATTGTTCTCGGATGTTGTCATAGAGATTTAATAATTGTGAGCTCTGCAGTTTGATTACCTTAAATTGGATTTGATTGTTCTAAGCAGAGAT